AAAAATCCGTATATACAAATTTATCATATAGACCTTACTTAGATTTGATTTACATAGTGCATTGGACACCCCAATGTAACAAGTTTTTTTAATGTAACATATGCAAACATGCGCAGATCTAATTTAATCCTAACTCCTAATTCTAACTCCTAACCCTAAAAAATACACACCAAAAAAATTTATTTTTCGAGATTATTTCATTTTAATCTGAATTTCATTTTAATCTGCCACAATTCTCGATCATGTCATCGGCACCTTGGAAACCAATATTAAAATCCTTAATATCAGAGAATATTAAAAATTTGAAAAGTACTATACTAATACTACCAATGCAGGTATTTATAATTAATTTTTACTTCAATTTCTGGTTAAATGTTAAATTATTCAAAACTAAAAAAAAATTTCAAATCTTTAATAGTTTTCAACATTTAATGCATCAACTTATCGACCAACAACTCGTACTGTGATGTTTCGTGGATTTTTAGGCGAAAAAAATAATAGAATTCATGAAAATGAATTAACCGAATATTTAAATTCCATATCATCGGAAACTAGTTTGAAAGAAATAAATCCTGAAATCGAGACAGATTTATTAGTTATAACTACAGATATTAGAACGCCTAAAGTAAAACATTTGCTAGAGAATCCTGGGTTTGAAGTTTGTTGGTAAATACTATGTATTTATTACTTGAAATTAATAAATTAATAAATTAATTAATTAAACCTTTTAATATGTTGTTTAATAGGTGGTTTCCATCAACCAATGACCAATTCAGGTTATCGGGAGACGCATATGTATTACCACCACCAACAAATCCCATTCTTACTCATTTTCCATCAGATTTGTTGCTTCCTTATTCTTTTTCCGTCAATTCAACTTCTCTAATTGATCAATTTGATTGGGAACAAGAACGCAAAAGATATTGGTACGAAATGTCTTCTGATATACGTGCGGGTTTTTTAAAGCCCCCATCAGCACAAGAAATAAATGAAGGTGAAATACAAAACGTAGTACAAGGACTTGATCCAATAGGTAAAAACATGGATGAAAAATTGTTGGTTAATAAAGCATTAGAAAATTTTGGATTGGTGATAATGAAGGTTGATTATGTTGATCATCTTGAATTAAAGCTTACACATAACGATAATAGAACTATTTGGAAACTTCAGAAAAGTGTTGATTTAAACAAGGGGGAATGGATCAAAAAAAATGTTGTTCCTTGATAAAGTTACTAGATTTCTATCAATATGTTACATCAACTTTGCAGTGAAATAAATGTCATCTATCTAA